GTCGTCCATCTCTTCCACCTTGTCTACCTCTTCCTTCCACCGGGTAAGGAACTGAGTGAGGTTCTCAGACTCCCTCTGCCCGGCTGTACTAAGATAGGTGAACTTCTTCCTCTTAGTACAATTCTCCTGGAACTTGGCCTTGAATTTTGAGGCCAAATCACTGAACGAGTCAATGCTTCCCGGGCGAAGCTTATTGAACAATTCAGTGGCTCGGCTCCGCAAGGTCTGGAAGAAAAGTAGGCACTTTTCTTCATCGGTGCAACCGTTCATGGTCGCACTCTGGTTGAAGGAGTCCAGGTGGATCTCCGGATCTTCCTTCCCGGTGAATCTCCGGATCTTCCTTCCCGGTGAATCTGGGGGCGTCGATCTTGACCTTTCGCGGGAAAGGTGTCAGATGGACCCTTGTGGTGAACGGGGACCCTGCCAGGGGTTTGTCCCGGTCATTCTTCTCCCCGACCTTCTTTTCCAGCCTTTCCAGCTTTGCCTCCATCTGCTGGACGCGGTCGTTCGGGATGGTTAACCGGTTCGCCACCGGTAACCTGGGCTGGCTTTCTGCCTCCCCTTCCTGGTGGGAGGCCCTCTTCCTCGCTGGCTCCTGCCGGTTAGACCGGGAGCGCCGGGTGCGGGCAGGCTCGGCCTCCCGCACCTCGCCTAGCCGGGCGAATGCGCTGACATGGGCAACGCTCTGCCCCAGCCTTTGCTTGGCTGACTTCCTCTGGCCTTCCTCCCTATCCCCCAGCCTTTCGAAGGCGGAGTTTCGGGAGGTCGCTGGCCGGATGTTTTTTCCTTGCTTCTTCTTGTGGGCCCTCGGGATGTCCCACTTGCCGTCATCGCTCTCAATTGAGACGCAATGACCATCAGGAGTGATCTGCGGATCCGTAGCTTGCGGGGGACGCGACGGCCCTGCAGCGTTAAGTGCACCGGCCAAGTTGACAGGGGCCATGGTGCTGACCAGCTGGGGCTGGAAAGGTGATGGTTGCGGCATCGGCGTCTGGAACGACGTCACCGCCATCGGAGCTTGT